GTAAAATAAACACAATTCAATTTATATTTTTTAAGTGGATATGAGCTACAAGGATTCAGGTGCTGATCCCAACAAGATACCTCTCTCGGCACCCCCCACCTGGGAGTTTCCCCCTGTAAGCGATTCAAGTAAGAGAGTCTGAAATGGAAAGAGCGTCTAGTGGTTCGGATGGGACAGGCTCTGCACATTAAAGATCCCTCAACAGTTGGAAATCGAAAGAGCATGCTAATGTCGTTGTCCTGGCAAAATTACCCTCATTGCACGCGTCTTGATTAGCCCACATGGTGCAGAAAAGTAAGACGTATTTATTTCATTTCTCTCGGACACCCATTTTGAAATGTTCACGAATAACGGATATTTTCCGTATAAATTTGCCTCGTTGGTGGTAGGAATTGACATGAAAGAGTCTCCGGTTGTCCAGACAGGAAAATATACCAAGACCATTATTTTTCAGGCTTTGAACGTTACAGATCTAGTGACAGTTGGAAATTGAGTAATGCCACTGTCCAAACTCGATGTCGTTTCATTTCAGTAACACTCAGCAAATAAGAAATATTGTTTAAATCTATTCGAATAAATGGTTTGAAGTAAAATATTATTCTTTTTCTTGATCAATATTTATATAATAATATGATTAATTCATTTGAATTCAAACATTATTTTTTTTCAAAATTCGAATGCAACTGAAAGCTAGAACAAACAGATTTAAACACAAAGTCAACGGCATGTCGACCTGCAGGCTATGGAAATGATAACGGATGATAACTTTAAAAGAAATCAAACAATGTGGAACAGAGATTGTAATCCGATTATATGATAATTTTTTTGCCTTTTGAATGTTTGAATTCAATATTCAGCGAACTATGTTTCTGCCACAAATCTTAAAGTCACTTTGTCATTCAAGGTTGGTATTGTATGAAGATAAATCAAATAAGTTTTTTCAATTTGCAGGGATTCTAAAGAACATCTATCAGCCCTGCGTCCATTCGGATATCGGTCGCGTTGCGTTGAGTTTTTTTTGTTTTGAACGAGTGACAAACCTGCAACGTACATACCAAACAAAATGAGTGACTCAATCGCTTTCCCTTCTCCTCCGCATTTTTATTATTTTACATTGCGAAAGAAAAGCCTATCAGCCAACCCTTCCCCCCTCTTTGCCCTTGCCCCCTTTGACAATTCTGTGGTATCATACCTCGGTGCCTCGTGACATTACATTTTATGAAAGATATGATGATTAAGCAAATTACTGAACGCATGACTGGTACCACCACCACAGTAAGTTCCGTGTAATGATTTTATTCTATAATGTACATAGTAACAGTAGTTGTTTGTTTTTAAAACATGTATCGTAGAAATTCAATATATATAATACTTTTATAATGCTGCCATGGACAATGAAAGCTGTTGATTTTTGCATCGAAATATAACAATATTCTCGTTTGATTACTTTTCCATTTGTACTGTTTACTCCAATCAAATTTTCATCATAACCTATTGACGATACCCGGATATTCTCAGAATTGCTTAAATTCTTTAACTTCATATTGCATTTAATCCCAAGAGCAGTGCCAACAGGACCACGTTTCTCAAAATATTGTAGATTAACGTACGAGCGTAAACGTTATAAAATAAAGACCTTTTTGCTTCAGTTAATGTGCATGTTCAATCGTACGAATTATAAATTAACGCTTTGATAACGTCAAAAATAACGTTTTTCTTCATTTAACGTGCAAATTGAGTCGTACGAATTTTTAAGAAATGTTGTCCAGGTCTAAACCACGCCATCAAAAATTTAACATGGATGCCCACAGTCACAGTGAACTATTTTTGGCACAATGTCAGTTTTCTGTTTCTTGAGTGATGCATATTTCATTATTATACTTCAGCCTGAATCAACTCAGTGAGTTGCATTCTGTTTCTTCTCATTGAATTGAGAGGCTTTTAACTTTCGACCTTACAAGCCCCTTTATAGACAGTGTTGATGATGGGAGCTCTTGCATCTTTGTGATAAATACTTTTTCCTCGTCTCCTTTTACTATACTTCTATTAATTATCAGGCGATTATGTCTGTTTTCACAGAGTTTGCGTCCACACTGAATCAATTAATCCTACCAAATTACACACCCTCTTAGAGAAAGGAATAGAATTTAAGGTCTCAAATTCTAACCGTAATAATTCGACAAGGATGTTCAACGGCATCAAGAAGTAATCATATAAATCAATCTGAACTGGTTGAAAGTAGAAACACTTCTATAAAATATTAAATATTAAAAACTCGGCCAGGAAATGTCTTATAATAACTTTTGACTACCGGAAACAGAACTTCCGGTTGCATACTTTAAAGCTATAGTGATTTTTTGGACTACAAATTGTTGTTGTCGAACCAGAAATAGATTTTCTCAATTGTTTAAGCCACCAAACTTAAAGATGAATACTATTTTACTATATACTATAATTTAGGTTGAAAATCCATCTTCAATGTCAAAATTTGTCAACATAAAATCCCTTTCAGAGAGCCCACATAACTAAAAATGTTTTTATTGATATTTGGTATTGTCAATTTGGTACCCCTTTCAGAGAGTCCACATAGCTAAAAATGTTTTTATTGATATTTGGTATTGTCAATTTGGTATCCCTTTCAGAGAGTCCACATAGCTAAAAATGTTTTTATTGATATTTGGTATTGTCAATTTGGTATCCCTTTCAGAAAGTCCACATAGCTAAAAATGTTATTTGGTATTTAGTATTGTCAATTTGGTTTCCCTCTTTAGAATCTAAATGCAAATGGTCCATATATCTAATAATGCTTATATTGCACCCATTCCAGAGAAAATCTCAGTTTGGCACTGCTTTGTCCGCGTATTTTAGTAAGAATCGGGATGCGATTGTAATATTGAATTCATTCCAATCATGTTTTTAAAGACGTCCATCTCTATCTCAACTAGGAGTCCACTTGGCGAAAAATGCTTATTTTCACGTATATCAAAAGACGAAAACTGCTGTTAGGCATTGCTTGAGTCTGCGTATAAGTGTTCGTTAGAATCGGCATGTGATTGTAATATAAAATACATTCCTATCATGACCGTATTGATAATCTTCCTCTCGTCATATTTACTAGTATCTCTATATAAATCATGATGAACAGTCTGACAAGATTCATTCAGTAGTTCATTCTACAACATGATAGTATCCAGTTAGTTCTAACAGTATAACTCGTCACAACAACTAGAGATTGATACACGTGGACCATCGTTATTCCAGTTAGCTGATAACCGGCCGGCTATTTTGGACATAGTGGTTCAGTAAGTGATCGGAGACAATCGGTGATACTTGAGCTATTGCTGACGTCTTGATTTTTGTCTGTGCTTTAAAAAAGAGTGATCGTTGACGTTAGGACTATCACCAACGTGTTGATTTGGACAGGGTGCTTTAAACAGTGATCGGTGACACTTGGACTTTTGTTAATTGATTTGGCAAATATTTTCGGACATGGTGTTTCAGTAAGTCATCAGTGACATTTGGTCACTTGGATAATAGTTAACGTGTTAATTTTTTGTTTTGAAAACTATTTGTACAAGAATCTAAAGTAAGTGATAGATGACATTTGGACTTTTAATAAAGCTTTGATTTTTAGTTTTGAATCATCGTAACGTAAGGAACTTATAAAACTATACAACAGTGTTGTATTTCTGATTTGTGACAAGTGACAAAATTATTTATCGAGGAAAACTCGTTGAAAAGGATATTAAAATACAGAATAATTGCCGTGAAAGTTTTAAACTTTCATAATAAGTAGCAGCTGATTGCCTGTTAGATTCTGAGGTTTATTTCCATTAAAAAAGTTTATTACAAGAAATGATTGTGATTTTTTAGTTATTTGAACTTGTAAACGCATGCTTTTTATTTGAAACATTCGGCAGTCAATCGGTACAAGCGTTGTTATAACGATTTAATAGAAAGCAACAAATTACTGGCGTGATACTAGAATACGAATGAGTATAAGTTAAAGCGATGTTTATGATATAATGCTAGCGACTTATGATTTAAGATAAAACACTACTGTAGATTACAATTTTCATGTAATTCACTGTATACGAATTTGAATACAGTCAGATTAAGGAGAATCAACAATATCACAAAGTAGGACTGCAGTTTAATACAGCAAGCCATCCCCAAAGGTTAAAAAGTTATTAGGTTATTAGAATTTGCATGTAAATTGACACTTGCACAACTCAACTGAGCAGAGCAATAATTGCAAAGTATATTACTCTTTTTTTCTCGATATCGGCAACCAAAGGGCAATTACATCGAACGATATTGAAATTTTAATCTCAAACCAGTTTTTCCAGTGTTGGTAAACATAGAAGGGTTCATCAAGTTCAATAATTTCACCTTACTGTGGAATTTAGTAGACAATTCAACATCTGATTAAGATCTGTCACTATACAGTATTTAGCGGCATTAGTAAATTGTCAAAGGTACGAGAAACTTAACAAAGCCTGACTTATCGTAGAGTATAAGCCGATTCCTCTAATTTACACCCAAGTTGATTTAATGGTACATTGTTTGTATTGAGACGAACAAATCGTGAAATGTGTCGTGGACTGAAACTTTATTAGTGATTCTTTGTGTGCTTAAGAATGTAAATCAGAGAATTTGGAACTTATCGTGAATTCTGTAAACTTTTACCAATAAGGTGCCGAAGTTCCTAAACAAAGTTCAATTATATAGTTGGTGTCTTGAAACAAAGTTCTGAAAAGTGTTTTTGAACTAGTCAAAGTTTTAAAGACTAACAGCTAAGCATGAATTCTGAGAGCTAATAACCGATGAAACTTTTGTGAACAAACTTTGAATCCGACATTCCAACAAAAATGGGATGTGTCAACACCAAAAAGGCGAAACTAAAACAAGGCAAGTTCGAATCATCGAAATCAGGGACACGTAAGACGTATCTGACCACTTCAAATGGACATGCGGGTACGAACGGAACTAACGGAATAGAATGTGAGCCCCACGAAGACGAAACGAAACCCTCCCTGACAGACAGACAGAAAGAGCTGGTCCTGGAGTCCTGGCAAATCGTCCAGGGAGATCTGGATAAAGTTGGGGTCGACATGTTCATGAGGTAAGGGATATTATTTATTTATTTTTTTGGATGGGTGGAGGTGATAGGGGATGAAAGCCGACACCGAGCCGACGCACGAACGGTCAGTGGCATGAGTTTAGTGAACAAATCGCATCAAAATCAAATAAAGTGGTCATATGGTTAAATGTCAAAAGTATATGATGATTTGGTGACCCAGCGTTATTATTACATCCTGCAATTATTAAAAAGATTGCTTAAAGGGTCTCAGGCGACTGGTATATTCTGTGAACAACTGAAGTTTCTTAGACTAACTGCAACTGGTAGCATTGCTATACGATTAGATTCTAAAATATATACCCTAAAGAACAATAACATGTAAAACGCTATTTCGTCAGATCAATAATAAGGATATTGAAATGAGAGATGGTAGGAAAGACAACCTCTAGTTATCTCAAATATAAGATGGTTACATTGCAATATGATTAGATTCTATAATAATATATAATACCAATAATAAAGAAATAAGAGACGAAAGGGAGTTCCGATTCCGTTTCGTAATATCAAAAATACATAAACTGAACAGAGAAACCATTATTAAGTACCAAATTAAAGATGTAAAACTGATAGTTATTGAACAGAGAAACCATTGGAAGTAACGCCTACAGTTGCTTATATAACCATTATGAAGTACCAAATTACAGATGTAAAACTCCTATTCGTAATATCAATAACACAGATATTTAATGGACAGAGAAATGTTAGGAAGTGACGCCCCTTCAACTGGTTATATAACCGCCATCAAGTACCAAATTAAAGATGTAAAGCTCCATTTCGTCCGACCAATAATACAGATATTGACAATGAGATGTTGGAGTGAAAACATCTAGTTAGTAATAGTACTATGATTAGACTATGAAATAGTAAGAAATAACGCCTCTAGATGGTTATATTATCATGATTAGGTAGCAAATTAAAGATATTTGAAGATAGTAATTTAGATGATATACTATGACAGCGGTGGGAGTAATATCTAATATCAGTACTAATGTGGTACTATCATTTAGTAGGTCGTGAGATATTAAGAGGCAAAGATGGCTAGGGAGATGTTCGAAGGAGGGATTGATTTGTCGTAATATATCTATCTTCATGATAGTAAAATAATAGAAGTGTTAATACAAACATTTTCTAAAACATCACGATACAGCTGCCATTTTTACAAGACAATGGCTTTGATAGCTTTTGGGCATCTTAATTTCGGTTACGACGATATTGATAACCTTGTAGTTTGGCTTCATAATATACCATCAACTTGATCATCTAGGGATATCAACTCAAGTCTCATTACATAACCTTCATCACCATTATAGTTCTAAATCATCTTGGGTCTTAATCGTGTTTACATCTTTCTTGGACAGTCATCATAACTGCTTGCGGTTAACCAGTGCTTGGCTTCACCAATATAATAGGTTTATATCATCCAGTGTTTTCAATTGCATACGTTGATCTCTTTCTGGTCATGTTTACAACATTTTAGAAACAGTCGTCATAACTACTTGCAGCAGTCAATGAGTGATTGGATTTGTTTATTTGCCATCTCATCATAATTGTTAATTTTTCTTTCATTATCAGCAATAAACCTCAACAGTTTCGCCGTGTTTCCCATATTCTTATATATTCACGGAAGAGTTTGATTTTTAAAACACCGAGTAGTTCAGCATTGTATATCGATAAAGAAAATATCATGAAAGCTTTTATCAGTAGAATAACATAAGTGTTTAAAAGTGTAGAAATTTTGTTTTCTGTAGGCGTTTATTTATAAAATTAAGTTTCTCTCTTGTTGGTAAAATGGTAATATGATTATATAAATTAATTTTATTTTATATGGTTCGGAAGTAATGTCATTACATAAAATACTGATTGCTTGCCTTCCAAGACATTTCTACTATACGATACCTTACTATACCATAAAATACTATACGATACCTTACTATACGATATAATACTATACGATACCTTACTATACCATATAATACTATACGATACCTTACTATACCATAAAATACTATACGATACCTTACAATACCATATAATGCTATTCGATACCATGAGATGTACTTCGATACCAGTACCAGTACAATGCAATACAGTACAATACAAGCATTCCACTTGCGATACGATACGATACGATACGATACTATGCAATACAACAAAATACAATACCATAGAACGATACGATACGATACGATACTATGCAATACAGCAAAACACAATACCATAGAACACAAATGAATACCTACGATAGATCAAAATTAAAAATAGACTCAATGTTTGAATGTGTATTTATTTTGTTTACTAATTTTCTGATATTGCATGACAAATAAGCTGAACAAATTAAATCTGGTCTTTACAACTATCAGGGGGATACTTCTTAGTTCATCATTAGGCATTCTTTCATACCTCGTACACTCTTGGGAACATTCGCATTGTTGTTGTCTTCTTTTTAAATAATTAATAATCCATTCTCATTGGTCACTTTACGATTCTTCAGCGTGAAATTGACCAATCGGATGTGATGTTAATTGGTAAAACCAACATTGTTACGGTATTTTGAATCATGTCTAATTTATATTCAGAAATGAATATATAATGTCAATTTTATTCTTAAATATAGTTGGTCTTTTCAAGTATGCAAATAAACCAATTGCATTTTGATCAGAAAGTATCAATTTACACAATCTGGTAATATAATCTAGCTGTTGTGTTTCGTATTTATTCTACACTCCACTTGCTTCCCATGATCTTCTTTCAATCGGGTTCGATGGAATCTCTAATCTATAGCATCAAAAGTTGTCATGATTTATGCTCACCAATCAAAGACATTATTGAAAATGGTTAGACAATAAAAGCCAATGAATATCCCAGAATTCTCAAAGATACGGAATTGAACAAAACAATTGGTTGGTTGAATATGGAATGACCTAGAACATACGATGCATAACTATTTAATCAGATCGTTGATGGCAGGTGCAGTCACCCACGAAACGAATCAGATTTTTTTAGGAGTAGAAAAGTAGGACGTTGTTCCATTTCATCTCATTTCATAACCTTTGTTACAATTATTGTAATCTCTATATTAGTAATAGATAACAAAGCGACTCTTACTATTGTGTTTATAACGAGTTTAGCCTAATAATGTTTTATTGTAGTGTTTATTATAGTCTTTATAATGCTATCATTTATTGAGCAAATAAAATTACTATTCATTCCCCGGTTTATATTAAATACTTAACTAATAATCGTCATGTTGTTATTCATTTAAAGCTGTCATAGTCCATCCAGAATTTAGACAACCACTTTTTATAGATTTTGTTATCATTGTCATTTATTGAATTTGGGTCAGCTATTGAGTAATAACGAGGTTTACTCATCATAACTATAGAAGCTTTTTGTACGTACTTCAGTTGTTAAGTTCGATATTTTTTCGGAGTATCTATAAATTGTAAATGCTTCCTCAAATGGTTGCAATGGTTTGGCCAAGAAAAGATCCTTAACTGTGAACCTAAATTGTTATCCTTGTAAAATATAGTTGTTTCTTTAAGTAATGCTGGGGATGGTCATCTGGCTTATCACTCAGGAGTCCACATTGAGATGTTTAATAGCTCAGGTAAAACCCAAATGAGATATATATAACCACTAATTATTTCGTATTTTGGGTATGTCAACTTGACATTCTTTTAGAGAATGCTATAAGTGTTTTTTTGGAATATATCATATTATATTCAACTAGAGCTGTTTATACGTATGGTCTATTTCAACCGTACGTTGAACTATTGGCATATTGTTGATTTATCGTTATAACAGCTGACCGACAATAAAACAATTACTAATAACCGTTTAACTAACAAAGACTTACAAAGTTATCATTTATAGTCCAGGACAGATATATTTGCTCATACTGGTACCATCAAAACATTTCACTAACAATGACAAAGATATCATTTCCTGTTAATGTATCAAAGCTCTCTCTAATGCATTCGATAAGTCCTGAACTCTAGTTAATGGTTAAGATGATCAGGTTTGATAGTTCAGCTCTAGAATCCATTATCGTAATAGTTAATATAAGCTTCACACCTTTAGCAATTAAATCCATCGTTCCGTCGAGACTCTGTGGCCGTTTTAATTGATTTCGATATCACGTTTTGTCGTCTGCTGACTCCTGGTCGTTGTCTGGCTAAGCAAAGTTCTAGAAAGGTTTTTTCCCTTTTAATATCGTTTTTTTAAACCGTTTCACACCTTAAGCAATTAAATGTATCGTTCCGTCGGGGCTCTAAATTGAATTGATTTCGATATCATGTTTTCTGCCTTCACTCCTTCATCGATGTCTGGCTAAGCAAGTTGCGGAAAGGCTGTGTTAGACTGGAAAGTGTTCGTTTTGCCGCTTTGGAAAGTTAATTATCGTAATACGTCTACTGAAATAGCTTTACGCCTTATGCAATTTACTCCATCGTTCTTTCGGGACTCCATTGAATTTATTTCGATATCATGTTTTGTCGTCTGCCTACTCCTGGTCTATGTCTGGCTAAGCAAGTTCCAGAGAATTGTGTCCGTCTAGAAATCGTTTTTTGAAATAGCTTCACACCTTTAGCAATTATCCCCATCGTTCCTTTGGGACTTTGTCCATTGAATTGATTTGGATATCTTGATGCTATGTCGCTTGCTCACTCCCGTCGGTCGATTTAAGTATTCTCCAATAGATTGACACCTTCTTCAATTAACCGAATCGTTCCGTAGGGACACTAAACCCATTAGAAGTGATTTAGATCTATGTAGTTGTTTTCTTGTTTGCTCGCTCCCTTCGCTGTCCAGCAGAGGCAGTTAAGCGAATTTTCACCAGACGCAATCCTCTTGGAGATGTCTGTTTCTCTGGTGTTCACTTCTGAACATGTCTTGTTCTTGTTCTAGGACAAACTGTGTCCGTAGAGAATCAATGTTAATCTCTTGAGCTATGTAATATTCTAGGGCAAAGCTAAATCTCGAAA